TATATATATGTATGTATGATATATGAATATATATGTATGATATATGAATATATATGTATATACATTTTAATGTATTTTTAATACAAAAAAGCTTTTTATTGTTTTTTTTTTATTTATTTATATAATTTCTGGATGCTTACACCATCTAGACATTTAAATATTATACAGAAAATTAAAACATACCCATCACAGAAGAGGTGTATTCAAGTAATTGTCTGTATGTTTTTTACCCTTTATTACAGTATAATCTCTGGATGGTTACATCTATACTTTTTACTTTAAATAATTACAAATAATACAACAAATTGAAACATGCCATAACATAAGAAGTGTCTTTGAGTATTTTTCTGTATCGGTGGCTTTTTAATGTATTTTAATAAACATTAATAAGACACAATAAATGCATTAAAGATTCAAAACAAACCGACTATGAAACAAACGCTTGTCTCAATCGATGTGGTTTGTTCTATTTAATAATGGCTTAGTAGGATTGAATATCGCTGTAACTACAGCTGGTCACCGCAATACCACACAGCAACCAGCAGAGGGCGCTGCTTCTCTCCACGCATATTTCTCTGCTGTGAGATCAAGCGCAGTTAATACAGATTTCTCTGTCTGCATTATCAGCATTGATAATGATCCAGTGAGTGCAAGCTAGCCTCTGTTCAACAATCACTCAACTGAAGGCGCAAGACTGCGGGTTAATTTTACCAGAGAGAAACCAGATTCTTTGGGAAACGGTTAATTTCACTTCAGCTTGAAATAAGTTCTGTGTCTAGACTTTTATTTATTTATAGAGTCAGCGTCAACATAGCTTTAATATCATACCAGTTAACATATAGGCTATATTTTTTCACAAGTAGCCTACTAAAAAGTACTAGGAAAAAAAATAATAAAAAAAACTATGATTAATTAAAGAAATAAAAATGGAGCATACACTGAAAAAAATAACTATTAAGATTTACTTAAAATTTTGGTAACAAATTGCACGAACACATTAAGTAAATTTTACTGCTCTAATATCAAGTACAACTTACTCACTATTATTAAGTAAAATCTACTTACTAAACTTAACATTCATGAAGAAATTAAATCTAATTGCACCCTAATTAAGTAAATATTACGTAATTATATTTAATTTAAAAGTGTTTATTTAAAGTAATTAAGTAAAGTTTATTTATTATTTTATAGACAGGAACCTTGCATTTATAAAATATTAAGTAAATCCTACTATTTACTGAAGTAAATAAGTAGATTTTATTTTATGTTTTGATCGAGATGTCCCATTTACTTAGTTTTATGTATATTACTCCCTATGATTATGTAAACATTGCTAATTTCTTTTTTATTAATATAACCACATAAACTGTATTCATTTTGTCT